ATCTATCTATCTATCTATCTATCTATCTATCTATCTATCTATCTATCTATCTATCTATCTATCTATGAAGGAAGATAAATCATTTCAGAAGCCTGTTTTCATTTTGCTTTTGTTTATTGACATCATTTACTATCTTTCCTGGAAATCATATCAAATTAATAATAGAACTGACCTCTACACTTCATAGAATATATATAAGATATAATCAATTTTTTAGGGGGCATTGTTTTATATTTGTTACAGGAATGGAAAAAAATGAATGAATGAAACTTAAATATACTGGTCCCTTCAACTCCCTCTCTCTTTCATTCTGTTTCAAGTAGCTCCATCCACTTCTCCAAGGCATTTCTTTTAACAATTCAGCTGGAGAGAGAGTTTTCCTGAATGAGAAACGTGAAGCAGCAGGTGGATTTGATCTCATCAACTTGATCACTTTTCCAAACAGATCCCTTCAGAGAGTTAGAGTTGGAAAATTAGATCCCAATGCTCCAAAAGTGAAAGAATTATTCACTGATGAAGATTTGATTGTCTGGCACCCAGCTTTTAACCAGGTATGGGCTATTTGAAGGGACTATATCTTATCCATTATGATCCCATGAACATGTTTCTAAATAGACTGTGTTCAATATGTTTTAATACAGTCTATTTAGAATCTAATTTCTGTTTTTGAAAGAAAAAAATGGTATATTATATTCAAAGGTTATTCAAAAAGCACCTACCATACTGACAAAATTTCATTATAATAAAAAAAACCAGGTTTTCATGTTTGGCTTGCAGTTCCAAATGAAATCTTAGGATATGAAATGTTTACATAACATTCTCATAATGCACATTTATTACTCACACTGCCTTTCTTCAAGCATGCCCTTTTATACCTCCTAGTAATTTCAATATCTTTTTAAGGTATAGTATAAAACCAACTAGATAAAATTCATTAACTCTTTGGGAAGTGAAGAATGCTTTGCCCCCTTAAAGGAGAAGAATTAGATACTGTTTTAAAAATATCTTTTTGCAAAACCTTTCATGTGTGTGACCAGGTTCTTCCACTTTCTCGGTGTAATGACCATTGTCCCCCTGGATCCTGGAAGAAAGGGGCTGAAGGAAAAGAATTCTGT